AGACGACAAGGTCAAGACAAGGGTCCTGCGAGCAAGATCTGCTTGTTACACACTTATCGGGGACCAGCTGTATAGGAGAGTATTCAGTGCCCCTCTCCTCCGATGTGTAACCAGTGAAGAAGCAGACTACATCATGAGGGAAATTCATGAAGGGATCTACGACAATCACACAGCTGCTCGATCTCTTGCGAACAAGGTTGTTCGTTAGGGATATTATTGGCCCCGGATCCAAGAAGATACGCACAATTTTGTCAAGAAATGTGACAAGTGCCAACGGTTCGCGAACATTCCGTGAGCCCCCTCTCACGAGCTGATAACGATGTCTAGCCCCTGGCCATTTTCCATGTGGGGGATCGACCTTATCGGTCCCATGCCAGTCAGAAAATGAGGGGTCAAGTATGCCGTGGTCGTAGTAGATTATTTCACAAAATGGGTGGAAGCTGAACCGCTTGCCGCAATCACGATCAGAAAGCTGAAAGACTTCGTTTTCAAGAACATAGTGTGCCGCTACGGAATTCCCCACACCCTCATCTCGGATAATGGAAAGCAATTCGATAACGAGGAGTTCAAGCAGTTCTGCGACGAGCTGGGCATCCATAAAAAATTTGCCTCAGTCGCCAGATCGCAAGCAAATGGCCAAGTTGAAGCTGTCAACAAGACCACTAAGCACACTCTAAAGGCCAAACTTGGGGCAGCCAAAGGAAATTGGGCTGACGATCTCCCCGAAGTCTTATGGGCGTACAGGACAACTCCGAGAACCTCCACCTCAGAAACCCCCTTTTCGCTAGCCTATGGCTGCAAAGCAATGATTCCTGTGGAGGTAGGAACTGGTTCTCTTCAGAGAGACTTGTACGATGAGGTTGAATCTGGATCTTGTTGAAAAGCACCGCAGCAAGGCTTTGCTAAGGATAGCAGCCTACCAGCAACGTGCCAAAAGGTTCTTTGATTCAAAGGTCAAGCGAAGAGACTTCCAGGTCAGAGACCTTGTGCTAAAAGTTCTCCTTGGAACCAGGGAACCAAGTGCGGGGGTACTAGGACCTAACTGGGAAGGTCTATACCGGGTTGACAAGGTGATCAGACAGGGGACTTACCATCTTAAAAGGTTGAACAGTTCCAAAGTACCCCGAGCTTGGAATGTCGAGCACCTCCGGCCTTACTATCAGTAATCCCGAACTCAGCTCTCATTATAAATCAGTTTTTGATTTTGTTAGTTCCCTCTTTGTTGTAAAGTATTATTCTGTTCGCTGAAACAGTTCGCATTTATTCTGTTCGCTTGTAACAATTCGCATGTAATATTACCTATGTAAAACTGAATTGTAAACTGCACTTATGTATGATAAAGCGAACAGCAATTGAAAGCAAAATGTATTTTCATTTATTTACAACAAAAATTGTTTAAGACCCTATTCCAATGGAGTCGGTCTCATTGCGCTAAGGCTGGTCGGGGGGATCCTTCGAAGCAAGACCCGAACCCTCTACCTGGTCGGATCTTCGGGTGGCCGCCGCTGCTTGATCATCTTCCTCCGCCAAGATCTGCAAGGTCTCTTGCCACCCATCTGGGAGGTCAGAAATATCCAGATCTGGGTTCATTGGTCGCAGGGTATAAATGAACCCGATTGCCCAGTCAGTGGCCTTATCCTCGATCTCCTCTGACTGGATCTGCATTTCTTCAGTCAGTGAAGCAATTTTTTCCCGACTCTCCTAGAGTTTGGCCTCGAGAGCTAGCCTTTCCTTTTCGAAGGCCTCCATTTCTTGTTCAGCTCGCTGAGCCCATATAGAGGTCGTCTGGAGCTCCTGATCCTTCTCTCCGACCTCCTTAAAGAGCCTAACGGTTGTCCTCTGAAGCTCATTTACTCCTTCCGCACGTCGTTCAAGCTCCACCTTTTGGAAGTCCACTGTCCGCAAAGCGGCATCCTTTTGGTTCAGGTACCTGTTCGCCACTTCGAATGCTTGTGTTCTTTCCGCTACGACGGTCTCCAGGCTCTGTTTGAGCTTCGCGACCTCCTCTTTTAGATCACTTGCCCCCTTCGCGGCCCCCAGCCGAGTCTTCTCCATGGACATCCTCATTGCAAGCAAAGCCTGCGAGCAAGAAGTGAATTAGAATGAAAATGGCGTACAAACTTTGAGAACATTTCGATTACCTTGCTTAGATGTTGGAACGACGTGGTCATCAGGTCATCGTCCATATCGGCGAACTCATCATATGACTCCGATAGCCCATACTCGAGCAGAGAATAGACTATCAGCTGCAGGTTTTCGGGCAGGCTCCCCAACGAGTCCAGCATTAGTGCGCCCTTCGCCTTGTCGGCAACAATCGCCTAGTCCGCGGGTTCTTTGCCCGACCTCCTTCTTGAGTCCTATCGCGACCTTAAGGGCTCTTCCTCAGATTCGGTCTCTGACTCGTCGACCTGAATCTGCTTCCTCTTCTTCGACCTCTAGGCCGGAGCCTTCTTCCTCGGGCGAGCAGGTGGTGGCTGAGCGACATGTTCTGTCCTGGTCGTTTCGTGCTCAGGACAAGACTGGGAAGGCGCGGCTGTTCGCACCAGTTGTGCCGTTATGGGGCGAGCAGCTTCGACCGCCCTTTCTCTCCTCGATCGAGGGAAGATGAACGGTGCTCGTCGGGGTTGCTCGTACTCCTTCAGAGGCATGGTCGCTGCATGCAAGTACATTAGTAACTAAACAAAAATTATTCTATGACCTGAGGGGAATCAATGTAACTTACCTTCTTCTGGGGACTCCAAAGACGCGTTGTTACTGAAAAAACCATACTTTCGCAAATTCACGGTCGTCACGAGCTTCCTCGTGTCTCGACTTTCCTCGGGAAGGACTCCAAAAGACACTAGCATGTCCGGGTCAGCGAGCAAGTCTTGGCTAGTCGTCTTGTTAACTACAAAAGAAGGCAGGTCGTTATAATAAAGGAAGCGAACAGACAATGAACCTAGCGAAGAAGAACCTACTTGGTTTCTGAAAGCGGTAGTAGCCGTCATAGCAGAAAAAGAAGAACTTTGTCTCGTAGGCCCCCGCGTTGCTGGGATAGCTATGTATCCCTTCGGTGATGGTAGTTAGCTCGCCCAAGCCACTCTCGCGGCACGCGATGTACATCGCGATGGCGATGACATACGTGTTTGGCATCAACTGCATTAGTGCGATCCCAAAGTGATCCAGGACCTACCTAATGAAAGGATGGAAAGGAATCATCCCAACACCCTTGAAGATCTCTTCGGAGATCGCAGCTAGGCCATCGGAAGTATGCCGCAACGACCGGGTGTTGTCAAGGAACACCTCTGCGCGGACGTCGAACTGTCTTTTTATCCTATCGAACTCTTCTCGGGTGAGAACCGAGAAGACATCAAGGGATGCGTCCGCGGGAACGTCCCGCGAAGACAAACTGGCTCCTTCCTCGGGTCTGGACGTTGACGGTTCCATTCCAGAGTCTGCAACATCGACAGACAGGTCATTTTAGCCATCACATGTTGTCCTGCACGACGGGATGGGACAAATTCCTTAAACCCTAACAGTAATTCGAGCCGCCATCCACGGCTCGAATCCTACGACGCGTCTCTGATGAAACACTAGGAGACCCAACGCCATTGCCCACCAACCAAACACAAAAAAAAAAAAAAAAAAAAGAGGAAGAAGGAAAAGGACCTTACCTTCTGGGGCGCGTGACTGAGGACAGATCTTGTTTTGGATACCTGAGAGATGCCAATCGGAAAAGAAGAGCCTCCGGTTTGCAAAGATTTTTCGCTCGAGGCAGAAGGGATTCTGGTGGCATCATCTGAAAAATTTGGGCTTTTATATGGACTGCGAACCAACGGTTACCACCCCTCGGAATCGAAATGACAGCCTTCTCTCTCTCCGCATTAAATGCGCCCCACGTCGCATTCAATGTTGTGATAAGGGTCGTCGTTTCGAATGTGTCGTGCAATTAATGCTATCAAAACAACACCAGGTCAGCACACAACGCATTTAATGCGCCTGCCAGACGCTTTAACACGTGCAGAGCGCCTGACAGCGCGGAAACAAGCTCATTGAATCTCCAACCCTAAGGCACGGTAAGAAACGTCCGATGAATCCAGGTCATTAGGATGATGATTGTCAGGTCGTTTGGGCAAAGATTGTGCGAGGTCGTGTTCGAAAAAGGCCCTGTCCCGAGTTTCTTCCATTCAGGTCGAAATTACCAGAACCTCCAATCGCGGCATGACTTAGTTTCCAAGGTTCGATCCCCAAACCTTGAAAACTAGGGGACTTCTGTTATGCTTGGGAAATCAAGGGCTGACGTGGGAAGTCACGTGATGAAGTGTGACCTGCTCCCGTCAGAACAGTAAGCGCACGTCAGGCCTGCCAAACACTATGGAGCTCCCACGTGTCCATTTCCGTGCTCCAAATCGCGTGAAATCAGCTTGGAAAGTGGGCAATGGGACGTAAAGCCGGATTATCTCTTGACATTCACACCAACCCAAGGATTTAATGATGATTCCTTGCATTCATCTTGGTACAAAAGGAGGAAGACCCCTTCATTAAGGGGATTCGGCCATTTTACACTTGAACTCTCTCTCTCTTGCAAACTTTGTATTTACTTTTCCTAATCATTTGTAAGTCAGTCTGCTGTTGCGACCTGACCCACTATACTAATACAAATCAGTGGACGTAGGACTTGCTATCTTAGCATCCGAACCACTTTAAAAAGCTCTCATTGCATTTATTCTACATTCTCTCCATAATCACGGGTGTCCCTTGATCAATTAACGTTACGCACGTGTCGATTAGTTGGTGTTAGAATCACTCATCGAACAGATTTTGAATCATTTTTAGTTGCCTTTTGGAAGTCTTATGCAAAATTTGGAGATTTCCAATTCTTTTCTTTGAGATCAATCTTTGGTGTACAAATGTGCCTGAAATTTAGTTTGAAAAATTGAAGGAATGGGAACAGATTTTCACCTTCACACACTGTAGATGATAAGGCTTTTAGTACTTTGGTTTTCCAGTTTTGTCTTCTTATGCGTCTTTATAAGTGTGAAGATGATAAGGCTAATCTAATGGTTAGTATTGTTATTCCTAAAACTTATTGCCTTATTAAATTTATTTCTGCAGGTATCGGAAGCATCTGTTAGTAGAAATGGCAGTACTATTATTGTTCCTGCTGGAAGTTCTTGGGACGAAGGGTGGACAGCATTCAGAAACATTCCGGCAGAAATTAATGAAGCATCGCGGCTTTTCATATTGCCCAATCAGGCGTACTTGCAGAGCTTGCATAAACCCCTTTTCTGTTTTTACACATACAATTGTTGCATTTATCAAATGTCTTACTTATCCCTTTTTTGGTTATGTTGTATGTGTGTGTGAAATAGCAAAGTTCTGAACCTTTAGAGCGTCTTGTTGGGCTTTCAGATGATGTTGGCGCTGGCTTCATTTCTGGCCATAGTAGCCAACCTGCCTCTGCTTCTGAACTAAATGTTGACAGGTCGGTTGACTTGCCGGCACAAGATGAATTAGGTAACATGGGGGTTTCAAAAGTAATAAGAGCCGATCAGAAGAGATTCTTCTTTGATTTGGGGAGCAACAACAGGGGTCACTTCCTGAGGATATCTGAGGTGAAAAACGGAGGATATTTATGTTTATTTATCTAAATTGGCGAGTTAAAATAAACTGTTAATGTTGTTTGCAAATATTAATCAAATTTATTTGAATTGGACTGGGGCCAAACTTGCTCTGCCAGCAAATTAACGAAAAGTTAAATTATGATTTTTCAATTTTAAGCCCTTCTGAATTCGCCTGCCATATTTAAATATTTTAAACTAATTTTCTTATTTTCAATATTGAACATGGTTTAGCTTCAAAATTATTTGGAGATGGCTGCTACCCAGACTGTTGCCCGGACAAAGTTAAATTATAATTTGCATTTATTTGAATTTCAGACAATCAGACTGTTGTCCAGCGAATTTTTGTTAAAAAAATTAAAAAAAAAAAAAGAGACTTATTTGGAGTTTGAGTCGGCTCGAAATATGCCAAATATATTATCGAGCTGAGCCGAGTCACATAATTTCTGACTCGGCTCTGGCTCGACTCGTTTATTATTCCTCTCTTATGAGTCGAGCTCGTTAAACCAAAAACTCTGCTCGGCTTGGATCAATAACACCCCTAATTAGTCAAATTTTCTAGTTAGTAGTCTAAACTAACCTTGTTGCTACTGGAAGTTTTGTGACTAATTAAATTTTAGCACCATGTGGGAATTTTCAAGGCGCACGACTCTAGGGAAGGTGTATATATAATATATCATTCTCTTCACAGTAAATATCAACAAATTTATAGGTTAAATTTTTTTTCCACAAGGATTTATTGGATGGGCCGTGAAACGAACGACGGTTGGCCCCAGTGAATCAGTGATGTGATATACACAAATGCCAAACTTTTGACCCTCAAGTCAATGAGAAATTAATAATAAAAAATAAAAAAATTTCTTCTTTCCTATTGATGACATGCTAGGAATTAGAGCTACGCTGTCAGCTATACGTATACTATTAATTAGCATCATAAATTTTCTTCCTGTGTATAGTACAGTTTATAAATGCTATGGGAAGACGCTGCTGAAGTATTCCGACTAAAATTTATATGTTGGCAATTTTCAATTCCGAAATAAAAATAAAAAAATGTGAGCAGCTGGGGACAATGACCAAGACATTAGCCCACAAGCCAGAAACAAAAGTTAATGGTTGATTCATTGACTCTGGCTTTGAGCTGGTCTTTCTTCGTTAGAATTTACAAAGAATATGTGAACTAATTTTAATAAGAGTTTGATAAAATTAATTGTCAAAGTAATTCTACGCAAACTTTTATGTGTTTGCAATATTTTGTATTGCACTTTGTCAGCTTACTCAACTCCTTGTTGTTTTCCAGTTATCTCAGTTATACATTAGTTTTTGCTGATTGAAGTGTTGTTCAATTAACTGGACTAAAGAGTGCTGCTTAGAGAATAATTTGACTCTCAGGTCAATAACAAAAAGCTTAAAACTTTCCCATTTTCGTATAATGTTTCGATACACTAGACCTAAGTAACCATCGTATTCATCTTATAGCATATAACACTTCTCATAGTTGTCTCCATTTTCATTCAATTATCTCTTCTTCATACTTCAGACTAAATACAATTTTTGTCGCATATAATGCATAATCAAGTAATTTGACACTACATGTGTGATAAAGATTGATAAGAGAAAAATACTCATAATAAAATACATTAATTGGTTGTATAATGATGTGGTACCTAGTGGTATTATTGTAAATTAGGTTAATAGTTTTCATTAAAAGAATATAATATCTTAATGACGATGAACCATTCTTTGATTAGAGCTTAACTGGAATTAAACCTGTTAGGTTGTTTCTAGGGATTGCAATTGCCCCCGTGGGTACAGTCGGACAGGTTCTCTCTTGTCGCCACTTTGTTTGAGGAGGGTATTTAAACTAAAATTTCAAGGATGGGGCAGGGATAGAAATGAAAACTCATTTCCGAATTAATTTCTGAGAGGGGTGGGAACCCAATCCCCAAAACAAATTAATTATTAAATGAATTTAGTTTGTATAATTAAAAATATTTAAAGATGGTCCTAAAAAATAAAATAAAAAAGTAACTACAAAAAGGAAAACTCAATTTTGTCAATTAAATTAGTGAAATTGAGTCTTTATTATAATAATCGGTATTCATATTTCATTTAATTCTATTAAAATTATTATTTTTTCTATATGAATAATATTAATGAAGATAAGTTTCCATAGTTGTTGGAGGACGTCTATTTGAAGTGGCAATAAACCTTAAGCCCAATACCCACAACCTTCTTCTAGACTGTCAACTGACCTCACTTAGAAAATGCACCCATTGGCCCAGCAAAAAACTGGCCGAAATTTTGTTCAGAGGCCGAATTGAAGAGTCCAGAGAAAGCAATTAGTCCGATATATGCAAGAGATTATCCATTACATATTAACATGTTACCTATTGGTGATTTATATATATATTTCGAGAGATTTGATACTTGCCAGAATTTTTTGGTACGCATGGAAAGGGTTGATTCATTGACTCTGGCTTTGAGCTAGTCTTCCCTATTGTTAGAAATTACAAAAAATGAATGATTCTATTAGATATATGTCTCAAAGAACTAATTTTAATAAGAAAATTCATTACAAATAAAATTAGGACAACGACACATTAGCAAATAAGAGGGGAAAGTAATTGCCAACCTAATTCTCTTAGAGTACTTTTAAAAATTCATTGACTTTGGCTTTCAGCTGGTCTTCCTTCATTATAATTTAGAAAGTCTGAAGGATTCTCTAAGGAAACTATCTTTGGGTGATCGAATGGTTTGATAGTGACTTTTGGATATATCACTCAAGATGTCTTGAGTCCGAGTCCCTTCTCGGTTGTTAGTAAGGGTACGTAGCCATTGAATGTCTTACCTTACCCTACCGATAGTTCTAGGGTTTCAGGAGATTAATTGAGATGTGCATAAACTGGTTTAGATACCCTCGATCATTAAAAAAAAGAAAAAAAAAAAATTCTCTAAGGATATGTCAATATGACTAATAATAGTAGTTTAAAAAAACTAATTGTCAAGTAATTATACACAAACTTTGGCTTTAAAATATAAAAATCCTTCAGGTTTATTGTAAATGCAGTTAAACCTAGAGGTTTAAACAAGTAATTATACACAAACTTTGGCTTTAAAACATAAAGGTCTTTCAGGTTTATTGTAAGTGTAGTTAGTCCTAGAGATTTAAACAAGTAAATTACAAACCCAAATGTTATAATATCATGACATTTTTATAAAAAAAGTAAGCATCATTGGCCTAATTTGTTACCTAATACACAAGATCTGACGACCCAAAAAACCTTTTGTCTTATCTAATTATAAATAAAACAAACAAAACATTAATTAAATACAATAAATATTAAAAATCGAAAAATGTTTTTCATAAGAATTTTTTTTATCTAATAAAATTAAACTAATAAGTGTATAAATAAAAAAAAATACTTTTTATTATATAATTTTTAAACATTATAATAGTTAAAAATAATGAAATTAAGAAAATAAAATAAAAGATGTTAAACAAAATAGATAGGTGCATTTTATTAGATAAATTATATGTTTACTTTGTCCCTTTGTTATTCATGGTCAATTAAACTATCATGTGATACAAAAAAAGATAAACTCTTTTGTTTCTTTCATTCTTTGAGTCTGATTAATTTTTAGCGCATTTTCAATGTTACCCCTCCATCTAATGGATTAAACTAACGGTTGTTATCTTTTGGATGAAAATATCACTATATTATAACGTCCGGGTTATTACTTGTTTAAACCTCTGGGTCTAACAAAAGTTTCATTAAACCTGAAGGGTGTTTATGTTTAAAAGTCCACAAACTTCATATGAGCCACAGGTCACTTATTCAGAATTGTATCATCATATATTTTATTTTATTTATTTAATATGCTCTTAGTTTTTTAATTCTTCATATATTTTATTTTATTTATTTAATATGCTCTTAGTTTTTTAATTCTTCAATAATTTCGTACCAAAATTGTATGTGTTATACATTAGCATGTTTGGATTAAATTAAATGTTCTTCAACTAAACGTAAAGAGTGCTTTGTAGAATTTTGACGACTGCAGTCAATGAGAAAAAGCTTAAAAACTTCTGCTTTTCTGAATTCCAAGTGGGTTTTGTTTTTTTTTATTGTTAATTGATTCTACGCGCAATTGAAGTCTTCGCACTAACACTGGCCTCTTGCATTCTAGTGCATATCCCATTAGTTTAATTTTCAACTTCTAAGTCATGTTATGGTTTATTTCATTTAGCTATACTTCCTACAAAAGAGGCCAAACACATGGGAGTTAGCATCGCATTTTCAAAACCAACATGTAATCTCTACAAAAATGTTAAACTAACATTAAGGGGTTGATATGATGATAAAAAAGATTTGTCCCTTTTATTGACTTTTTTGTTTCGAATTACCTTACAGTTATCTATCACATTTGTAATTTACCTTACATCATTAGGTTTGTAGAGTGTTTAATAGATTCAAAAGATTAATTAAGGTGTGTATAAATTGACTTGAACACCTTGATCATTAAAAAAAAAAAAAAAAAAGGTTAAAAGACACAAGTTTTACTATCAAAAACGCTTTTAAATTTGGTAAGAAAAATGAAAGGGTAAATAAACAATTACTATTTAATCAATGACTAAAAAAATAATAAAATGGACTAATCTTTTAAGGGAAAATACAACATTATATTATAGTCTTAAAAAATCCGCTTTTCCTTGTCTCAATGTCATGTCATAGTCCTCTTATATAGTCTCATCACCATCTCTGACGAGAAGTAGGTACTAGGTAGATTGTGAAGTCTCTTAATATTTTTCATAAAAAAATAAAAATTTTTATCCAATAAAATTAAAATAATAAGTGTATAAATCGGAGAAAAATATTTTCTATCATATAATTTTTAAATATTATAAAAGTTAAAAATAATAATATAAAAAGATGCAAAGTTTAATTAAGAAAATAAAATAAAAAAATGTTAGACAAAATAGATAAGTGTATTTTATAAGATAAACTACTTGTTTACTTTGTCTTTTTGTTACT